ATGGCCAGCAACATGCAGAGACCCACCCCCAGCCAGACACTTTGTTATAGGTGCAGCTGCCTTCCTGTGGTCACTCTGCAGTATAACTGTCCCCCATGCCTGCTGTCCTCCTGTGGTCATTGTGGAGGATAACTGTCCCTGCTATCAGTCCTCTCCCTTTCTGTGTTATAGAAAACAATCAGATTCCAGGCACATCCCGTTTGGCCAGCAACATGCAGAGACCCACCCCCAGCCAGACACTTTGTTATAGGTGCAGCTGCCTTCCTGTGGTCACTCTGCAGTATAACTGTCCCCCATGCCTGCTGTCCTCCTGTGGTCATTGTGGAGGATAACTGTCCCTGCTATCAGTCCTCTCCCTTTCTGTGTTATAGAAAACAATCAGATTCCAGGCACATCCCGTTGTCCTGGAACAATCAAACACTTACCTTGCTGAAAATTATGATAAGAGGAAGCTTCATACTAAATTTGGTGATCCTAGCTCTTCCTGTTTAGGAGAAGTTCTTGAACAAACGGACTCACAGATGGACGAACAGATGACATACAATCAGACAGACAGGTGCACTAACTCTCATAACTATATAGTCGATTTCAGCACAATGAATGTTTATGTGCCAGAAATGAACAGCTGATCAGAGGAGAAAAAGTGCATACAAGGCTCAAATCATAAATGTCTGAACATGGTGCAGGCAATGGTATCACTACAAGGTGAGTATAAAGAGTGGATATGATACAGTGCAAAGGCTCAAAAATTTTGTTAAGTATGACTCAAGACGACAAGGACAGATTGTCTCCATCTACAAAATTTGGATCCAGATTTTGAATATCCCCAAACCTGAGAATGTCTGGATCTGGGATTTTTGTCTGGCCCATTCCAAAGATAGTTGTCAATGTATATATTGTTTAGATGTAAGATTTAGATTCAGGTTCATAATTAATTCCATCAGTTTCCTTGAAACTCAAGAAGAGAATGCTATAAAGATCTAATGGCCTAAATCAAGTTTTAGAACCTTTTGCATCTTCCACAGAAGTCAATGGGAATCTCTCCATCGCTTTAATGAGAGCTGGTGAAAGCTATGACTGAAAAGTGTTCCAGTTGTGCTATGCTTTTAGGAAACAGGAAAAACAAAAGTGATCTATTTAGCAATTTTGATCCATGTGAAAATAATCAAATACCATCTATGCTTCTCAAGCCATTGCTAACCTAGATAACGAGAAAGGAAGAAAGGTTGATTGCCTCTTCTGCCAGGTTCCTGTCGGAATTAAATAAAATGTAACCATTCACAATCCTTTGATTTTTTTAAAAAAACACAGATTTACCTTTACGGAAGAGAACTGGGCCAATTGGGCCATAGATCTCCTGGGATTTCTCTCTCATTGCTTGGAAGTTGCCCCTGTCTGCAATAGACTGAATCTGCTCTGCTGTTGGAGAGAATCCAAAGAATTCAGCTATTTGCTTCAATCCAGAAGTCAGGTTCTGAAAGCAATATAGTGTAAGGGATAACATACTATGCTTGCTCTGAAAAAAAGCATAAGTTTCCTGTTTGACAGGTTTATGATCTTCACCCATTAATAATAATTTCACACATAGTGCATTTTTACATCACCTTGATGCTAAGTGCTATAGATTTGTATCCATGTTCAAATTGTTGCTATAAGATGCTTTGGGATCAATGGAGCTACTAGGAATTTTGCCTCTGACTTGAGTCAGAGCAAGATCAGGTAAGTCTTGCCTGCAAGTATCAACAGCTTTACCTCTTTCAGGTCTTCATATGTTATAAGCATAACATTTTCATCCTCAATGTGTTTGTTCCAGGCAACTGCATGGTCAAAATAGGATCCCCAGCTGACTGAAAAGAAGATAGAAAACAAGCTATCTTGCTTCAGCCTGTTTGTTTAATAATTATACTCTTATTTCTATCTAAGAACCACTTTCTCCTGACTTCAGGTTATACCTGGCAGATACACATAACAGGATATCTGTTCAGTTATGCAGTGTTGTACAATCTATGCTATTGTTTTAGTTTCCATAAGTGCATATGCTGTTACTTAGGATTGTTCTGAGCACCCATGTCTTGATCTAAACTTCCCTACAATTTGGAAGTGCTTAGAACTGTGATTTTGGTTTGGACCCAGGTGCAGAAACTGAAATGTCTTCACTAGCATATTTGATTATGCTAACAATTGCTTGAACCTGGCAGAAGTTTTACACAAGACATTAAACTATTATGCACATGTATTACTCAACAGACAATGTAATGCCCATAAACAGAACTATCTTAGTTATTCTTCATGATAGGATGCAACTGAACTCCAGAATGTGAGGAAAGTTCTATCAACTACTTTTAACATTACACTTTTGTTTTCATATTGGGCTCCTTTAGTTTGTCTGAAATATTTCTCTTCTGCTTAATCTTTCAGATACATTCAGAAATAGTAATTGTACCTTTTCCACTCATGAACTCTGAGAAGAACTCATCCCAGGAGATATAACTGGGGACGTTTGGGGTATTGTTATGGAAATGGAAAAATGATGCAGCTGTATCTTTAGGATTTCGAAACAACACCAGTATCTGGAGTGGGAGCAAGAGGTTAGTCATTTCTAAATTTGTTGTTTTCCTGGATAACTACAATGATAGTTCAATGAAATGTTCTGTACAGTAACATACTGCAACTATTACATATTTTTTATAGGTAAGACATGAGAAGCAAATTCAAAATGAAGGCCACAATAAAGTCCTCAGCTACTTTTAAAGCTTGATCTTGTGGTCAAAGAATCATAAAAAAGCGAGAGACTGAAAAAGCCTGAACAATTGTCATTAAAATACTTCCCTGTCCATGAGTGCATTGTTCCCTATTGTTACCTCAGACCCAGGTAAACCTCATCCCAGGAGGCTTACCTGGGTGATCGACAAATACCTTTGATGTCGACACCCACGCGTCCAGACTATCACGCTGAGCCGACAAACAGCTGATCAGCTGTTTGTCGGCTCAGCGCAGCAGCCATGTAAATTTAAATGAAGCGGCGATTATTTAAATCGCGGCTTCATTTTACTATGTCTGGTAGCCTAATCTACATGCCTCTGGCAACAGAGGCATGTAGTCTAGACGTACCCATAGTGAATCGACTACACCATTGCATCCCTAGTTGTGATAGTAGATGTACACATGGCCTCCTCCCTCCCCACTATTCCTGTGGGCGGGAAGGCTTGGGCCAACTCGGGCCGTGCAGCTGCCTTCCTTCCCGCTGCTCCTGGGTCTGGGGAGGCTTGGGCCATGTGGCGTCTTCCCTCCCTGCTGCTCTGGCAGGGTGGGGCACAAGCGCAACATGCTGCTGCTCCTCCTCCTCCCCTCCCCGTGGTGGGGGTAGGGCCTCAGCAGAGGGGGAGGGACTGTAAGTGGGGTTGGGTGCCTGCCTCCCCCTAGAAACTTCTCAAGTCTTTTCAAATGTTATCTGTGACAGATAGCATAATGGACACCTCTCCTTTTAAGCTAGCTAGCTAGAGTCAATTATCAATAATATTAAGTTGTATATTTTCAGTCATACAGATGGGCATTCTTCATTCTTATACAACTCTTTGTTGACCGCTTGTTCTGAATGTTGATGTAGTTTGGCTCTTTGGTTTGAAAAGATTGCGGACCCCTGTTCTAGCATAAAAGACAGAGGGTAGGGGTAAATCACTGGGTTCTAGTGATTCTTGGACAGTAGAACAGCCTCTGGCTTAAGTTGTATATTTTCAGTCATACAGATGGGCATTCTTCATTCTTATACAACTCTTTGTTGACCGCTTGTTCTGAATGTTGATGTAGTTTGGCTCTTTGGTTTGAAAAGATTGCGGACCCCTGTTCTAGCATAAAAGACAGAGGGTAGGGGTAAATCACTGGGTTCTAGTGATTCTTGGACAGTAGAACAGCCTCTGGCGAATAACCCTAACACTATTCTAAGATACTAATATTACTAGAGTCCAGGACAGGAGTTGTAAAAGTGGCTTTAGTGTCACCTTCTCATCACTACCACCTCGTTGGCTCCTGGCTCTAATGAAGGATATGGACTCTAAGATGCTGTTGAAATATCATACAAGTGGATATTATTGTACAGTGGATATTATAGTGTACAGACAGACAAGCAGTTCACCTTGGCTTTATTCTTGAAGATAGACTTAGGGAGATTGTCATAAAGAAGGTGTGTTGCCAAAATCCTTGGAGATGGTAACTGTTCCATCCTCTTTAAACATAAATAGAAAATAAAATACATAAATGAAAATACGTTTTCATTCTCAAAATGTTTAAGCATAAGTAGAACAATAAGGGAGAATAGTTTTGTTACATGGGTGCAACCACAATCTGAAATGTTGGCATGTGTGGAATCACACATTCTCATGCTAATCAAAATACAGAACTTAACGAGGGTTTTTCTTCGGGAGTAAAACCCACACATGCTAGACTATTATCATTTGAATACTTGTAGGTGTAGGCATGAAATACCAGATCTGAATTGTTTCAGTAGTTATTCATACTAACCTGATATTTTTCTGGATCTCCACATTCAATAAATGGCAGTTCTGTATTTTCTTGTTTAGTCTGGGAAGTTGTAAATATCAAATCATTTAAAAGATAGATAAGCCAATTCACACCTGGACAAACAAACAAACAAACAAACAAAAATACAATGAATCAGAAACTTATCAAAGATCTCTGAACCTTCTCATTACACTGCTTAATACAGTATAATAATAACCATTTGTCAACTGAAAATAATACTAGTGAAACTCTAAAGTGATTAAATACAATAAAATCTTAAAAAACCAAATTCTGAACTGCCACTTGAGAGGCTGCACATTGGGCTTTATTCTGCCCAGATCCCATGAGGGTCAAGCTTACTGAGACCTAGTGGTGGGTGGAACAGGAACAGAATTTAGTCTCTGATGCATCTGTATATTTAAAAATATATATATTTCTAAAACAGAGATTAATAACAAGAGGGACATAGCTCCATCCCTTGTCATATCCAGGAGAAGGGATTGGGGTGTGGGAAGCTCCCCAAGAGGCTCAGCTCATTGTGTCAGTGAGAGTGTATCTGCCATCCCCTATGAAGAAACAAACAAGGGATTCTGCACTCGTGGATTGTCCAGATCCTTCTCTGCAGTGGGTCTGGAGCCCCTTTCCCAACACCCCTCTGGCTACCTGATAAGATGGCTCCAATAGAACTGTATTGTTAGGTCAATCTCCACCCAATCTGTTCCTGCTCTTGGGAGTCACCTCTTCAGAACTTTCCAGGAGTACTCTGCTCTAAAGGTAACACAGCACAATTCACTCCTGGTTGCCTTAGAGGGTGGCAAGAAAGGATGACAATGTGCATCCTTGGTCCGCAGCATCATATCCCTGGTCCTTGTGGAGATCCCGTCAGAAGGTTTCCCTCAGGGACCACAGAGATGATTCTGAGGAGTTGACTGAGCCATAACCTTCTGAGCACTGAGGAATCCCCCCACGCATGCCAGAAGCAACAAGAAATGCATGGTGTGAACAGCTTTAACCTCACACTTTCTGTAGACAGCTGTTTCCTGATAGGATGTTATCCATCCTTCACTCTTCTTCCTAACTTTCTCGCTCTTCAGTCTCTTGTCCTCTTGTGTTTTCATATCAGCTGTTCATTGTTAGCCCATTGAGGTAGAGATCTTGTGTTTATATTCACCTAAAACAGATGTGCCAGTGCTGCTTTATATATAATAATCTCTGCCTCTCTGTGATACTCTGTGAAAGAGGTTAGTTGTACTTCCCTTCTTAACAGGTGTTGCAAGGCTAAATTCCCAAATGGGTGAAATTCTTCCCCATGCAAGGCCTAAACATCACTTAAATCCTACTTAAGCACTAAGAGTCAAAAGAGGATCAAGCCCTTGGACTAAAATGATCCACTGACCTTGACTGACTCTCTATCCAGAGGTGAATTCACCCTACTCTTTGTAAAGTGCCTTGAAATCCCCAGATAGCAGATTCTATAGAAGTGCCAGTTATAATTAATGTTATTTCTCCACAAAGCTATATTCATGTCCTTATGTAAATGCAGACTAGAACCAGCACCAGCATTCTCTACAATTCTATGCCCTCATTTTCTCATTACTTACCTCATTGTAAAATTAAATTCTTAAGGACGTTACTTGATAGGTCTAAAACACCAAGCCTTTAGTTTCCCTACCACATCTCAAATGTCTGGGTTAAGAGCAGAGAGTATTCTTACTCTGTGATGAATGGTGTGAAAAAGGAAAATGTAAAGATTTTCCACGTGGGTTAACATTTTCTCTTCTATTGTGTGTATCCTAGACGTGGGAAGCATTTCACATCGTAATATTTTCATGCTCCTGAATAAATAACAAGAAATAGGACTTTGGAAGGTAGAGGCAAGTTTTGATTCTAATGAGAGAATTTTCATCAGGCCTAATCCCAAAATTCCCAGTGAAGTCAATGGGAGCAGTGGGTGTTCAGAACTGGACACAGGACACTTAGTTCCTGCCAATATTGGGCTCAATAGCAGAGACATTTGAGAAGCTGGCAAAAGAAATCAGACACCTTGTTTTATAGTGTTACGAAACAGCTAGATTGTACAGGTGTCTTTACCACACGAATATATAATCATAGAATCAATCGCATAATCACTAGAACTGAAAGGGAACTCAAGAGGTCATCGAGTCCAGTCCCCTGCCCTCACGGCAGAACCAAGCACCATCTAGATCATCCCTGACAGGTATCTGTCTAACCTGCTCTTAAATATCTCCAGGGATGGAGATTCCACAACCCGCCCTAAGCAATTTATTCCAGGGTTTAACCACCCTGACAGTTAGAAAGTTTTTCCTAATGTCCAACCTAAACCTCCCTTGCTACAGTTTAAGCCCATTGCTTCTTGTCCTATCCTCACAGGCCAAGGAGAACAATTTTTCTCCCTCCTTCTAACACCCTTTTAGATACTTGAATACTGCTATCATGTCCCCTCTCAGTCTTCTCTTTTCTAAACTAAACAAGTCCAATTCTTTCAGTCTTCCCTCACAGCTCATGTTTTCTAGACCTTAGTCATTTTTGTTGCTCTTCTCTGGTCCTTCTCCAATTTCTCTACATCTTTCTTGAAATGTGGTGCCCAGAACTGGACACACTACTCCAATTGAGGCCTAATCAGTGCAGAGTAGAGCAGAAGAATGACTTCTCATGTCTTGCTCGCAATACTCCTATTAATGCATCCCAGAATAAAATGCATAAATTGATGTTTAGACCTGCAGCGCTAAACTGTGGATCGTTAGAGACTCAATCCTGCAAGGGGCTAAGCACTTGTTCTGCATATTTTAATAACAGAGCATAGCACCTCAGAGTCAGAGTTTTAAATTTCATCACCCAATGTTCTGTTTTCCTTTTAGTTCTTTACCTTCCTCCCCATTTTTTCCCTTTATAAAGCTTGGGAAATTTAAATGCAAAAATTCTATGTAATGCTAGTGAAGGCTGAAAGATTAAGCACTCAAATGTCAGGACATTTTTTAAATGTGTTCCTGGTAATGGACTACTCTACCACATTAGACGTATGCAGTGTTTTCTGTTCCTTTCTTCTATGTTCATTTTAACCCTTAACAGGGAACTTTTCATTGCTTTATGCCTGTTGCAGAGTTTTAGAATACAGGCAGTCCCCGGGTTACGTACAAGATAGGGACTGTAGGTTTGTTCTTACGTTGAATCTGTATGTAAGTCGGAACTGGCGTCCACATTCAGCCGCTGCTGAAACTGACCGCCAGTTCTGACTTACATACAGAATCAACTTAAGAACCCCAGGCGTCCCCAAGTCAGCTGCTGCTGAAACTGATCAGCAGCTGATTCCAGGAAGCCCGGGGCAGAGCAACTCTGCCTCGGGCTTCCTGTAGTCAGCGCTGGTCAGTTTC